CATCTGGCCACTGGAAGATGGTGTAGGTTGTACTCGTTTCACTCCTCCTTAGAAGAGACTGGCCTGGCTTTGAGAAGCTCCTTACTTGCCCACCTCCCTGTAACATTAGAGCATGGCCAGGAGGAGCAACAGTACCACATCAGCCTTCGGAAGCACTGGATCTCCCCACCCAGACAGCTTGAGGCTCTCGCTAAGACCATCCACTCTGTAGTCTACCTGGGAGTAAAACTGGCTGATACCCAGAAGATGGAGCTGCAGATCCTTGTCAGTCAGTTGAAAGATGTGTTTGTGAACAGGTGGACCACCGTCATCACCCATGGGATTTTTACACCACCGATAGTCATCGTTCAGCACTGTTCCTACCCTATGTCACTGATGCTCACTGGCTGGCTACATCTGAGAAGATCCAGAAGATTTTATAGGTCCTCAAGCCATCCCCATCCAGATTAGATATTTACCCTATGCCTCGAGTGGCTGAGCCGCTGGATTTGCTCGATGGAGCCCTATTTATCAGCACCTTAGACCTAACCAAAGGGGTATTGGCAGGTTTGCCTCACTCCAGACGTGACCTGGCAGCCACTGGAAAGCCTTGGGCCCTTGTATTTGGGCTCCACAGGGACCCAGCAACATTCCAACAAATGATGCACATCTTGCTCTGAACTCAAAAGGAATACACGACGGTCAACTTAGATGATGTTGTGATCCACTCAAGGTCTGGGAGGACCATCTTACCTGTCTGTGGAGTTACTATTGGTGTTACAGAGGGCTGGAATCACAGCTAACCCCGGAACTGTCACCTCAGACTTACAGAAGCAATGTAATAGGGGTACACCATCGGCTGGGTCCTCATCCAACTTCAGTCGGCAATGGTGAAAGCCATAAAGAAGGCGCTGAGGCCATCTACTAAATCCCAGGGTAGGTGCCTTTTTGGGGTTAGCCGCTACTATCAATGTTTAATCCTTAACTTTTCATCTGTACTCAGCCTGTTGACAGACCTCAGGAAAAAAAAGCAGCCGGACAGGGTCAACTAGAACCCAGCAGCAGAACAGGCCTTCCAGACTGCCCTTGCCTTGTCGCCAGTACTGCATGCATTAGACCTAAACAGCCTTTTTATCCTCCAGACCTATGCCTCCAACTTCAGCCTGGGAGCGGTCCTCTCCCAGGTCCACGAGGGAGAATGTGAGTCAGAAGTTCTTTGGTGACAGACCATGCCCCACTCCAGTGGAGGGCGACGGCCAAGAATAACAATCCCAGTGTCACCAGGTAGTTTCTAGCACTCCAGGACTTCCACTTCATAGTCCAACATCAAGCCAGGGCTTCCCACGGGAATGCTGATGGCCTCTCCAGGATGTAGTCTGGAGGGACAGGTTTGTCAAAGCACCCACCCGTCCTCCCTAACAATCACACCTTTCACTTACACACTGCACTGTAAATAAACCACCCTTCAGGGAATCTTCTTAATTCCAAAATACGTGGTTGTGTTTTCCCTGACATGCACGTACAAGCATCCACACGCATACATACCCACACACACACACATATACACAGGGACACAAACTGACTCGCACACACACACACAAGCTTTCATAACAACACAATAAGGCAAACATGCAATCTTTCAAGATGAACAGAATAAACATCACTGTAGTGAAGCTGAAAGTAGCAGTGGTGTGTGTTGCGTCTGCAAAAGAACAGAACAGACACCAGTTCAGAAGCTCTGCTCAGGTTCACCAGCATCTCTTTAAATGAGAGAGAGAGAGAGAGAGAGAGAGAGAGCAGTGGTCACTCACTGAAGCGGACGCTCTTCTCGCAGTGATAGTATCCATCCTCACTCTTCTTCTTCAGCATTGAGCACAGGTCTACTCTACACACACATTCGTCTCCAAACACACGGCTCTCGAACTCAGAGAACAGCGCCGGGTCCAGCTTCTTAACACCCTGTGAACACACGCGTCACACACGCATTAATCTACAGCAAACAGAAGGTCTCACACACACACTGGCGAGGGAACAGAGACGACGCTGGGACTGGAAGCGTCTGTCGAGGACGATAACCTCTGCAGGAAACGCACGTCCTGAGGGAGGATTATACACTCACACACACACACACGCCTCCTATCTGTGTGCTCCATACTTAGAAGATGAAGAACCCCCGCAACACTGTCTGTCTGTCACGTACACACTGAAACACGAAGATTAACAAACTGTCATGCACACGCGCACACACACACACACACACACACACACACACACATGCATGCATGTATGCATGTGCACACAACTTTAAAACACCATGAATTACTGAAAACCTTGTCGGAAATTCTCACACATGCACTAACAAACAGACACACACTGCTGCACACACACACACTCTGACACATGCACACACATTAACGGTTGTGCACACACAGGTACACAAACTGTAAAACATGTAGGCACAAGCACGCGCGCACACACACACACACACACACACACACACACAGGTACACAAACTGTGAAACATGCACACACAAGCACGCACACACACACACACACACACACACACTCACAGAGGTACACAAACATTAACACATACACACATACAAACACAGACACACAAGCAAACACACACTGACACACACACCGAAATGCACACACACATAGGTAGACAAACTGTGCACACAACCATGCGCACACACTGACACACGCACATACACACACAAGTTCACAAACACAAATACAAACACAGACACACATGCAAACACACACACACACAAATGCACAAGCACACACACACGCACAGGTACACAGCTGTAAAACATGCATGGAGAAGCACACGCACACACACACACACACACACACACACACACACACACACACACACACACACACACACACACACACACACACACACACACACACACACACACACACACACACACACACACACACACACACACACACACTAGTCAGGGTTTGTGTTCTTTTGTCAAACACAGCATGTTCTGTTTAATCAGATGATGACGGCGAGGCTGTGGTGAATCTACAGGTAAACGTGTAAATACAGTTAGGTTTATAAATATTTAGGCATCGACACAAATCTAATATTTTTGGCTCCATGCACCAACACAATAGATTTGAAACGAAACAACTGCAGACTGTCCGCTTTAATTTGAGGGTATTTACATTCAAATCAGGTGAACGCTGCGGGAATGACAACAGTTTGCATGTGTGCCTCCCACTTGTTAAGGGACCCAAAATAATTGGACAGAATAATAATCATAAATTAAAGTTTCACTTTTGAATACTTGGTTGCAAATCCTTTGCAGTCAGAAGTCTGGAGCACATAGACATCACCAGACACTGTTTTTTATTCTGGTGGTGCTCTACCAGACCTCTACTGCAACTGTCTTTAGCTCCCGCTTGTCTTTTTTTTTGTAGTACAGTTAGCGATAGAATTAGAGAGGCAATTGCAGATTAGGAAGAAAAGTGAAGACTAAATAGTTGAGTTTTTAGTCGTTTCTTGAAGACAGCGAGTGACTCTGCTGTTCTGATGCAGTTAGGGAGTTCATTCCACTAACTGGGCAGGTTGAACGCGAGAGTTCGGGAAAGTGATTTCTTCCCTCTTTGGGATGGAACCACGAGGCGACGTTCATTCACAGAACGCAAGTTTCTGGAGGGCACATACATCTGCAGAAGTGAGAGCAGATAAGAAGCAGCAAAGCCAGAAGTCGCTTTGTAAGCAAACATCAGAGCTTTGAATTTGATGCGAGCAGCAACTGGCAGCCAGTGCAAACGGATGAGCAGCGGAGTGACATGTGCTCTTTTAGGTTCTTTAAGATTACTCGTGCTGCTGCGTTCTGGAGCAGATGAAGAGGTTTGATAGAGTTAGCTGGAAGACCGGCTAGTAGAGAGTTGCAATAGTCCAGTCTGGAGAGAACAAGAGCTTGAATAAGCAGTTGAGCTGCATGTTCAGATAGGAAGTGTCGGACCTTTCTGATGTTAGAGGGTGCGAATCTGCAAGATCGAGCATAGACATCGAGAAAAAATGTAAGTTGACAGTCTGCAGTTAAAGCATACATTGTTCATTCCATTCCAAATCCATTGTGTTGGTGTATATCACCAACATTGTGTTCATGTATGGACCTAACTGTAACTCTTGAACGTCTACAGCACAGGTGTCAAACTCAGTTCCAAAAGGGCCGCAGCTCTGCACAGTTTAGTTCCAACCCTAATTAAACACATCTGATCAAACTAATTGAGTCCTTCAGGCTTGTTTGAAACCTACAGGTAGGTGTGTTGGAGCAGGGTTGGAACTAAACTGTGCAGGGCTTCAGCCCTCCAGGAATTGAGTTTGACACCCCTGGTCTACAGTTATTCTTGACCGTCACACAACAGTCATCAAAGACCTGAAGAGTTTCTCATTGAGATCAGCTCTGTGATATTAGAGAGATCTGCAATTAGTTTAAAAACTGACTTAACCTCCAAGGGCTTGAGTGTCCACATACGTGGACAGCACATTTCAGCTCTTAAGTGGCTATTTAAAATACTTTCAATGTTTTATATTTTGCTACAGACATGCAGTGTCGTCCTGCAACGGTTTTGCAGCATATGAAATGTCCCAAACTCTATTTTTAACTGTGCAAAATGGGCAAAAATGTTAGTTTTTTTCTCTCGGATAGTCAAAACGTGTTCAAAAAATCTGTCTATGTTATTTATGCATTAAAAAGCAGTCAGGAAAAAGTGTTTTATATAAATTCGAACGACAAGTCCACATACATGGACATCATTTCCCTCTAAATGTACATCATATCAAAAGATGACACTTAGGTTTTATTCTAATTCAGTTCCAATAAGCCCAAATAGCAAAGAGAAATAAAAAATGCATGTAAAAAACACCTTGGGCCTTAAGAGGTTAAAGACCATCAATAAATAATCATGCCCATCAATAATAAATCAAACACACTTCTCTTTTAGGTAAATTGCTGATGTGTGGCTTTAATCATCAGTAGAGGTATGTGTAGTGTGTGTGTGTGTGTGTCTTACAGGTCCACCTGGTCCTGTGTGCTCAGGTGAGTCACCAGTAGCGTGATGTGTAGTGTGTCCACAGGTATGAGCGCCCGCGACAGACGACTGTCCTTCATCAAAACCTGCTTCTGCACGTCCTCCACTGCCTGCTTGATCTGACACACACACACACACACACACACACACACACACACACACACACACACACGCACGCACACACATGCACGCACGCACACACACACACACACGTTTGTTTTTGTTAAAAGTGGGGACATTACATAGGTTCCCATTCATTTTATACAGTCCAAACCTTATATTATATTGCCCTCACCCCACCCTACCCCTAAACCCAACCATCACAGGAGACTATGTGCAGCTTTACTCTCTAATTAAACTCATCCGTTGTGATTTATAAGCATTTTGAGAAACGAGGACGTCACCAATGTCCTCATATTTCACCTCCTTTTTGTAGTACCTGTGTCATACCCATGCCATTATACAGATTTGTGTCCTGATATGTCACAAAAACACGTACACGCACACACTGTATTGTTACACAAAGGCGACCTATTATGCAAAAATCACTTTTATAAGGGGTTTAAACAGTTGTGTGTCAGCCGTGTGTGAATATAAGCAGCTTCTACTGGTAAACATAAATTAATTGTATTCTTTATGATCAGACTTAATAAAAACTGCAGAAACACTTTGATTGACATTCTCCCTTTGTAAGAGTCATCAAAGGGGGAAAGCCCCGCCCACTAGTGACTATCACTCCCACATTAGCATAAGACAGTGGTTCTGAAACTTTTTTCACCAAGTACCACCATAATGACCAGTAATGAAATAAAGCAGTGAGGTTGGTCAAATTAAGCAGCTACAGCACTGCACAGTTCAAAAACAAGCCACAATCATATTTATAGAATTTTCGATAGATTTTAAAATATATCTTGCATGTTCATATGATGTACTTTTTGAAATCTAAACATTATCTTGTATGTAGATTGCTAGGAAACCTGTTTTTCTCAGAGGATGTTAAGCTGACAACATTGCTGCACTCTAATATGACCTCTGTTAATGGAGAAAATTAAGACGCACGGCAGTGTTTGGGTGTTCTGTGTTTGAGATAATTAGTCTAACAAAGTTATATTCCATATAAAATATGAAGCTGATCAGTTGATTCTTGTCACGTGACTCGCGGTGCGGCATTCTAAAAAGTTAAGATGTTTTCAACTGGGCATGCCTGGAATACGTGAGCGCGTTGTGCTGCAGTTCTAACTCATTTTCTTGCCTGAGGGTTAAATTTTGACGCTCAACTGACCGAGATGTAACAAGAGAATACGGTCATTTTTTAAAATTGTATTAATTTTTTCTTTTATTACTCAGTGATTCCTTCGCGTACCACTAGAAGTAAGCCTGCATACCACTAGTGGTACACGTACCAAAGTTTGAGAACCATAAGCATAAGACCTTAGTCCACTATGCTACTATGCTGACACACAGGCATTTGTAGCTCCTCCCTCTTCTGAAAAAGGGCACAATCTCATTTGCATTTAAAGCGACAGACACCAAAAGGCCACAATAAGGATCAAATCCTAAAAGGGGCAGTTTCAAGGCAAGGCAAGGCAAGTTTATTTATATAGCTCATTTCATACACAATGGCAATTCAAAGTGCTTTACATAAACAAGAATAAAAGAAACAAGTAAAATAAAAATAAAAACAAATAATAAAAATGCATCAAAACAAAACAAAACATAAAAACAGGTCAAATGTGATATAAAAGAATGAAGAAGAAGAGAAAAACATGATAGTGCAATCTGTCGGACGCAGCACAGTGCTCATTCAGTAAAGGCACAGCTAAACAGATGTGTTTTCAGTCTTGATTTGAATGTGCCTAATGTTGGAGCACATCTGATCATTTCTGGAAGCTGATTCCAGCAGTGAGGGGCGTAGTGGCTGAAGGCTGATTCACCCTGCTTTGACTGAACTCTTGGAACTTCTAGTTTATATGATGCTAATGATCTGAGTGATCTGTTAGGTTTGTATTCAGTGAGCATATCTGTAATGTATTTAGGTCCTAGGCCATTTAGTGATTTATAGACCAGTAATAATACTTTAAAATCTATTCTGAATGTAACTGGGAGCCAGTGTAGAGACCTGAGGACAGGTGTGATGTGCTCTGATTTTCTGGTTCTGGTCAGAATTCTGGCTGCAGCGTTCTGTATGAGCTGCAACTGTCTGACTGTCTTTTTAGGAAGACCAGTGAGGAGTCCATTACAGTAATCCACCCTGCTGCTGATAAAAGCATGAACAAGTTTCTCTAAATCTTCACTAGAAACAAAGCATCTGATTCTTGCTATGTTTTTGAGATGATAGTATGCTGATTTACTGACTGCTTTGACATGACTGTTGAAACTCAGACTGTTTCAGAGAGTTATTAAACATTATTTGTGTGGTGCTTTGAGCTGAAACTTCAATACACACTCTATGGACACCAGAGACTTTTTTGCAACTAAGGTCAACAAAGTGATAATACCATTTGTGATTATTTATGGTATAATTTGAATTATAAAATTTCTAGGTATTTGTTTTTCCTACTATGGAAGTCAGTGGTTTCAGGTTTTGAGCATTCTTTAAAATATCTTCTTTTGTGTTCAAATGAAGAAAGGAACTCATCAAAGTTTAGAGTCATTTAAGGGTGAGTCAAGTTTAATTTCTGGCTGAACTACCCCTTTATGAAACAGCAGTGAATGTGCAACAGTTTAAGTGTTTTACCTGTGGGTTTGTGATCGGCACAGACACAAAGTAGTTTGGCCGAGTCGTCTCTTTCTTCTTCCTCTCAGCGTCCTCTTCCTCAGCCTTCACCCCTCTCTTACGCTTCTTCTTCTTCACGCTGCTTTCTGTGCCTGAAAAACACAAACATTCAGCCATTTAAAAAGCCATTAAAAAGTACACAGTCAAACAGGAATTGTGCACTATTTATAGTAGACTAAGCCAATGTGTGTAAACAAAGTGATCATGTGACCCCTTAAAGGGCAAGTTTACCCAAAAATATTATTTACTCACACTCAAGTGAATTTAAAAGGTTGGAATAAAATAAAATTAAACAAAAATTGTGAAAGCTTTTATCACGATGTTGACCAAAGCTGCAAAAAAAGACTACTTTAAAAGTGCTGAGTGAGATTCAGAGACTGAAACAGGTCTATATAATGGAAAAAATGACTGCATGTCTACAAATGAAGACTGATATTTCTCTGAAGAGGTGGAAAAGTATTATGACATCTTTAGATATGTATATTTACTTATCTTTACTTATCATCACTGTAATTGGATGTAACTACAATGCAACACAATGTAACTTGATGTACAAATGTATCTCCTGTGAAGTAATTATGATGGCAATACTTTTTATTTTTTATTATTATTTTTTTATTGATTTTCTTTATTTATTTATTTATTTAATTATTATTATTATTATTATTTAATCATTATTATTTTTATTTATTTTATGTATCCCCTCGTGTCTGAGGGGAAAAACTGTTGGGGAAGGGAGAAAAAAATATATTGCTTAAATAAAAAGTAAAAAAAAAAAAAGTGCTGTATGTAAGTTTTTAATTTCTAAAGCATAAAAAACATAAAATGTTAACAGATATTTCAGAAACATGCTAAGTGAACATTCTTGTTTATCTGAAAAACAAATGCTGAAGTCAAATATTCTGCTTTGAACATGTGCGTTTTGTGCCTGAACGGCTGTCTTTGTTTTGATCTCCATAACCCGCACAATGGCAGTTTAGCCAATTATATTTCAGCAGCCGGGTTGCCAGCGTATTTCATTCATTCAGTTAGAAAGACTCTTAAAGAATGCGTCCATGACGAAATGCAACATCGGATGGACACTAGAAGCCTCCGAAATGAGAAGCAGATTCAGAGTTGAGAAGCAGATTCAGTGCTTTGTTTCCATCCAAAAATGCGAATGAACTTTATGGGCAAAACTGGAATATCGCATAAGAGACGTGCGAATAAAGCAGCATTTCCATCCAACGAGTCAAAGCTAACAAAATCGTCACTTCCTGGTTAATTGGTGCCAAATATCAACAGTAAAAATGTAATTTGCTGCAGTAGCACAAGCTCTGTTAATCTTGTCTTCATTTAATAAATGACTTGAGCCTCAGAAGACTTGAGCCTAAGTAAAGCATCCACTGCGTGAAACATGTGGTGGATAAGTTGGCGGTTCATTCCGCTGTGGCAACCCCGGATTAATAAAGGGACTAAGCCGAAAAGAAAATGAATGAATGAATGAATTAACAATAGCGATGCAGTGGCGGAGTAGGTAGTGCTGTCGCCTCACAGCAAGAAGGTCACTGGTTCGAATCTCGGCTCAGTTGGCATTTCTGTGTGGAGTTTGCATGTTCTCCCTGCGTTCGCGTGGGTTTCCTCCGGGTGCTCCGGTTTACCCCACAGTCCAAAGACATGCGGTACAGGTGAATTGGGTAGGCTAAATTGTCAGTAGTGTATGAGTGTGAATGGGTGTGTATGGGTGTTTCCCAGAGATGGATTGCGGCTGGAAGGGCATCCGCTGCGTGAAACGTGCTGTATAAGTTGGTGGTTCGTTCCGCTGTGGCAACCCCGGATTAATAAAGGGACTAAGCAGAAAAGAAAATCAATGAATGAATTAACAGTGGTTTGTTTTGTACAAATGAATATTGCTAAAGAGGGCTAATAATATTGACCTAATATATTCAACAGTACATCTTGTTTGAGTAAGAACAAGTGGAGGACAAGTATTGTGAATTTTTTGTTTTTTATTTTGGGGTGAACTGTCCCTTTAAAGACAGTCAGCATGAAACTCAAGATCTGAAGTCCTGCCGGAGCACATGATCACCAGGATTTTAATCAAACATCTGCATGAAATCAGCAACAGTGGGATGTTCAGTAGCAAGGCTGTAAATCTAAATGTTGGTGCTATTGGGAAGCGAACGCTGACAAACAAGCGTTTCTGAACTGTTTGGGAGAGACGCCGCAAACAAGAAACCCGAAAAGCGGCACACAAATGTTTTATTCATAGCGTGTAGCCAGCTGGGGCATTTGAATGCAGGAGCAGCTGCGGTGCTAGGCTGATCCACGCTGCGCTTGGCAAGCGAATATCGTCTCTCTCTTAGCGGCCGCTCACACCGGGATGATTCCCGCTCCGGGACGATGAAGACAGGAGCCCACGACACACTCTGACAGGTAGGACATGCTCGGGTTTCATTTTCTTGCTGCAATTAATTGCTGACGCCTTTATACATAAGTGTGCTGTACAAACCACCTGCAAACACACTCCTTCATCGCTTATACAGATGCTTGCACCAGTTTTGCACCACACACTTTCTTACAATCACTACATATCTATAAAGAACACTGTGCATTCCTGACTGTGCCTCACACAGGTGAGTGGGCTTGACAGACTACCTGTAAAAGCAAAAAACACACTCCTTCACCACTTTAACAAATGCTTGCACCAGTTTACCACATTTGACAATCAATAATTCATTCATTTTCCTTCAGCTTAGTCCTTTATATATCAGGGGTCGCCACAGCGGAATGAACCGCAAACTTGTCCAGCATATATAATACACATCTGAACCTCTTTTGCATAATATTGTTCTGCTTTATGTAAAATTACTTGTATAGTCTGTCTCAGGTTGCGTGTATAGTTTAGCGTTTAAAGTATACACTCACCGGCCACTTTATTAGGTACACCTTATTAGTACCGGGTTGGACCCCTTTTGCCTTATTATTTATTTTATCAATGATTTGTTCTGTAGCCAATCGAAAAACAAATGTTCTTTAAGGGGGCTAATAATATTGACCTTACAATGGTATTAAAACTGTTTAACTGCTTTTATTCTAGCCTAAATAAAACAAATGAGACTTTCTCCAGAAGAAAAATATTATAGGAAATACTGTGAGACATTCTTTGCTCTGCTAAATATCCAAAAGTGTCTAAAAACATTTGAAAACATATTTAAAAAGTAAGTTAAATCCCTGAGGGGCAAACAATTTTGATTGTATTTTGAATTATTGAGTGTATGGTCATGTGTAAACCCACCTCCCAGCTCTGCGTCTGCAAAGGGAAGCTCTGACAGCAGATTTTCAGACTCCTGACCCTTCTGCTTGCTCTCGGACGCTTTCTTGGGCCCTTTCTTTGCTTTCTTCTCCTTCTTGAGCGCTATAAAGAGCAGAGATGAAGAGCACATGAGGACATGAGACTGACATTACTGCCACTTTTATGATAAATGATAATATAGACTTAGTGTGTGTGTGTGTGTGTGTGTTTGTGTGTGTGGTGCATGCAGATAACACATTAATGCAGGGTTACCATGTAGATCAACCACACAATATTTAAATACTGAAATACTGAATGAAAAGTACAGTGACAATGACATAGTTTATGGAAAATATACAATTATACTGAAATATTGAATTTAATATTTCAGTAAGACTGAAATATTGAAACACTTTTTGGGTGGAAAAAACGTATAAATTTAATATTTTAAGGGAAATACTGAATAAACATGTTTTTATACACCACGGATTGGACTGTTTGGCGCCATCTTGTGTCCAAATAAAGTGCAGGTTAGTGTATACTCCATCAGCTGTTTTAGTGTCTGTCAGCTTTGTGTTTTTGACTGTTTGTCTTCATCTTGTGTCTGAATTATGCGCAGGTTAGTGTATACTCCATCAGCTGTTTTCATTTCTGCTAGATTTGCGTTTAAAGAATAAAGTATTACAGCTCAGAACAATATATTGTGCCTAATCTTCATGTCTTTATGGAATTTGCAAAATAAATAGATTACTTAGCTTGTTTAAAAGACAAACTCGCTTAATTTTGACTCATTATTTCTGAAAACTTGAAAACATTTGCTTCTTGATTTAAGGAGTTGTATATATTTTGACTAGAAACAAAGTGAGATTTAGAATTATGGCTTTACTTATTATTACAGTGCAACATAAAAACACCAGGAGATTTCTTCCCTGCTAGTAAAAGTTGATATTTCCAATAATTTTTCACCACAGTGACCCATGGGTGTATTTATTTGGATTAATTATTTGCATCAACTTTCCTTGTTCAATCAGACCTACAACCAAACTTTCTAAAACAAAATCACTTCAATCAGAAAAAGTGACTCTTCTGAAAAGAAATGCAATTTGCTGCAGCTGTATCAAGTCATTAATAAATTATTAGTAGTTTTATTAATTGGGGTAAACTTGGTTTTATATTTGCCCATTTGGACTTTCTACTTGATAATATAATTTTAGAAATTCTAAATAGGCAAATCATAAAATCAGTCAATGACTATCACAGTATACCATGGTTTACGATCAATTAAATAGTGCTAATGTTGTTTTAAAGTCATACTTGCACGCTATTACAGACCAAATATTCAATACCCCATGGTAAACTATATAGGGAGCGTGTCACTCAACAATTGTGTGATTATAAACCAACTCTACCTCAATGTATTATGATATGTAGGCTGTTAATCAATTGGGCTATGTATTGTTGAAGTGAAAGCTGGAATTAAGCACATGTAGTGTGCACACTTCTTAGTACTGATTTCTAAACTCTTGTTACATTCTGTAGCTGTGCTCTAGCATGAATATGTATTCAAGGCACATAATATTAGTACAAATTACATGCTTTATGTATCCCGTTATTACTGTTAATAATAATAATAATAATAATAATAATAACGTAACTTACTCTTGCTCTTCTGTTGTTTAGTGCACTTATCTGCTGTAGTGCAGACAGTAGTATTGTTGTTGTTGTCCTCCATGTTAAACGGCACACTCAGTAAGCACTTGCTCTGATTTGACTGGCAGAACACACGTGCATTCACCTTCCTGCACTCAGTCACTACTGAGGGCACGTCAGTATTAAACACCCTCCACAGGCGCACTAGCGGTTGAGCGCGCAAAAAATGGCGACTGATCATCTCCAGCCCAAACACTAGTAACTAGTGCTGGCAGTGTGACGACGTCGCGGTATTGTGAGCGTTATTCGTGCTCTTGGTCTTATAAAACAGTGCTGTTTACCTCGCTAAGCGAAATATATTGTACTCCGACAGTGTTTACAACAGCCCCAACATAACAACACGACACACATGGGGAACGGGAAGTCGGAGGGGACATGTGGTACACGAGAAGAAAGCGTTCCGAAAAATAAGGGTGACGTTAATGTTTTGAAGCGAGTTTTAAAACTTGGCTGAAGCGTCTGTCGTGTACACGCTTGGTTTGTAGTTCGAGTATCTTTAGTGGAACATAAAATGACATGTTTTTTAATGATGTACACTGGTATTTTCCATTTTAAATAAGAGTCTGTCAAGTATGGAAGCCTAAAACATACTATATGATATGATACAGCTTTATTGTCAAACTTTTTTTGCAAAACAACTTATTACATACTCTTACAAAGGGACAGGTTGTGTTTCTGGTTAAAGTTTAAACTTATAGCTGATAATCTATACCAATAATAAACCTGTTTTTGGCCCAGTTCAGAGCCAGTTAAGTGTGATAAATTGGCTGAGATTCCCATGTGTGGTCCTTGTCTTTAATCCAGTTATAGGCCACTTCAGGACTGCCGTTCTTTATATGCCATTTACAATATAGGTAAAATATATTACTTGGGTAAGGTTTATTGTACGTTTCAGATGACAAATCCACTAGAGGGTGCTGTCTACATTTTTGTAAATCTGAAATAGGCCATTTAGGCTACATTTTGTGAATCTCAAATGAGTTACTTAATGTGCATTTTATTTTTTGTTTCAGTCGACAAATCTACTAGATGGCGCTGTCTACATTTTTGTAAATCTGAAATAGGCCATTTAGGCTATGTTTTGTTGTATGTTTCATGTTACAAATCCACTAGAGGGCACTGTCTGCATTTTTATGAATTTGAAATATGTTACTTAGAGTATGTTTTATTGTACATTTCAGATGGCAAATCCACCAGAGGATATTTTGTTTACATTTTGCAAATGTCAAATACGTTACTTAGAGTGCATTTTATTGCATGTTTCAGACGCCAATCCTAATAGAGGTTACTGTCTACATTTTTGTAAATCTGAAATAGGTTATTTAGTCTATGTTTTGTTGTATGTTTTATGTCACAAATCCACTAGAGGACGCTGTCTACATTTTGCAAATCTCAAGTGCGTTACTCAGTGTGCATTTTATTTTATTCTTTACATGACAAATGCACTAGAGGGCGCTGTCTACATTTTGTGAATATGAAATACGTTACTTAGAGTGCATTTTATTGCATGTTTCAGATGACAAATGTACTAGAGGGCACTGTCTACATTTTGCAAATCTGAAATATATTGCTTAGGGTGCATTTTGATTGTACGTTTCAGATGACAAATCCACCAGAAGACATCCTACATTTTGCAAATCTCAAATACATTATTTTGCGAGCATTTTATCGTTCGTTTCAGATGAAAATCCATTAGAGCGTGCTGTTTACTTTTTTCAAATCCAAAACATGTTACTTAGGGTACGTTTTGCTGTATGTTTCAGATGACAATCCACCAGAGGTTGCTTTCTTCACTTTGCAAACCTTAACTATGGCTGCGTCCGAAACCGCATACTTCCATACTATATAGTACGCTAAAATCAGTATGCGAGCCGAGTAGTATGTTCGAATTCATAGAATTCGAAAATCAGTATGCGAGAAGTACCCAGATGACTTACTATTTCTGGCGAGATTCTGAAGTGCGCATCCCATGCACGCTGCGCTATCCCATAATGCCCTGTGAGAGAATTCATGAATGGAAGTGAGGCGACGCAACTGACGCAGGTAGGTCACGTGACCATGACAAAATGTTGGATGTAGTACGTCCGAATTCCATTCATACTTTTCACATTCATACGGCCGAGTAGTACGTTTAAATTCAAATGCAGTACCTACTGAGTTGTAGGCGGTTTCGGACGCAGCCTATGTTACTTAGAGTGAATTTTATTGTATGTTTCAGACGACTAATCCACTAGAGGGCGCTGTCTACATTTTGTGAATCTCAAATATGTTACTCAGAATGCATTTTATTGTACGTTTCAGATGATTAATCTGCTGTAGGGAACTGTCTATGTTTTGTGAATCTGGAATATTTTATTTAGGGTACCTTGTTTTGTACGTTTCAGATGAAATTGTCATTTTTGGTGAACTATCCTTTTAAAGATTCTTGAGCAAGCACCACTATATCCAGACGTTCAGCCATTTGATAAACAGAAAAACAACAGAAATGCTTTCAGAAGAGCACAAAGACATTAACAGAAACTTGTCTACATGCTTATTTAGATCTGTAATGCTGTCTGTGAAAGCTCTTCTTCTATTGACTGATTATTTCCACTTCCACAAATGCGGTGGGCAGAAGTACAGTCTGATGTTCTGATAGAGCCTGTATTGTTGTGCATTATCGGCTGTGTTCAGCTTCTCGCTCACACCCTCGTTTGTTTTCTGTAACTCTAGACCAGCGCTTGGGTTTCAGGCTGCGGAGGGCGCGAGTCGTGAACTGGGACAGCAAACAGGTGTAAAGAAGGTGATCCCGCGGCTGGTGTCCTGATGTTTACCTGAGATCTGCAGTCTGAGGTGGGTTTAACGGGGTCATGGCTTCAGTTTCACACTATTGTCTGTAATGAATGTGCTGTTTGCTGCAGAACAAAGATAGAAAAACCTTTTTCTTTAGTACCAACAACCGATTACAGAGCTTCAGTTCTGTGTCTGCTGTTTTTTTTTTTTCAGAGCTAATATTTAAGGAAAGTCTTGATTGTCATGTGACGCTTTCAGACTGGATAACCACACACTCTCAGCTTTATTTTAATGCTGTAAAGGATGTGTAATAACATATTTTGTTACTTTTTATTATATTAATTCCACTCTACAGTTTAACAAAGACACTTTTGTTGACGTTTTAGTAGTTTAAACCCAGATAGCATACGAATGTGGGCCACTTTAGGCAGTTATGCGGCACTGGTGGTCTTCCTTCGGTCCAGATAAAATGAATGTGAGCCTGAAGTGGCCCATCTGTACAATGGGAAAGGGGAACCAAAGATTCAAATTCATATATGGGCCATTTAATGTAAAGATTTATCTGAATTTCTGAATGTGAGCCTAATGTGGCCCATGTGAAAAATGATCAGTTCGGCTCAAATGATGGAGGACAAATGTGGGCCACAGTTGGCAATAATGTAGCATAGTCATTTAAGGGTAATCTGGGTCTAAACCTAAAGTGGCCCACACGTGTTAAAGTGGTCCTAAAACATATGTTTTGGCAAATATTTGGCACAGTAAGCTCTGGCTAATGCTACTGTGAGCCTAAAGTGGCCCAGAGAAAATATGGCAGTTCATTACCAGGCCTTTGTACCATCATTTACAACACCAACCCTGACAATATAGCACTTTAAACTAACTAACTACACTTTGTTAACAAAAGTCATTTTTTCAACATTTAAAATTTTAAGGTCAAGATCCCATTATGCAATTCTTACATATAAATGATCCATTAATCCCTGTTAAACACCCTTAACTTATGGATATTTTTTACTGTGCATCTACAGTTGAAAGCAGAAGTTTACATACGCTGTAGAAAAAGGCACATAACCATTTAAAAAAAAAGTCAGATGTTAATGTGACTAAACTTTTTCTCTTTTAGGTGAGTTAGGATTATCAGATGTGTTTCTGTTCTGCTTTATAGCGGAATAATGAGAGAGAGATTTCTTTGAGAAATTGTTAAAACTTTTCTTGAAAGTCAAGTTTACACACAATAAGATTATTCTGCCTCTGGAAAAGCTCAGATGATGGGGTCAAGGTTTTGGAAGTTTCTGATTGGCTAATTAACAACATTTGAGTTAATGTGAGGCAAAACTGTAGAATAGTATTAAAGGAAAAGCTCAAACACACTGCTTCCTTGTGTGACAATATGGGGAAATCAACAAGCCAGAATCAACAACAAAGTCAGATTACCATTAGCTGAATCACACTGGAAAGAGACTCATGTTTGGAGACATGTGCTGTGCTCTGATGGAGCTAAGATTGAACTGTTTGGCCATAATGAGCAGTGTTACATTTGGAGGACAAATGGGAAAGCTTACAAGCCTAGAACACCATCCCAACTGTGAAGTATGGGGGCGGCAGCATCATGTTGAGGGGCTGTTTTTCTGCAGGAGGGACGGGTCCACTTCACAGCATAGATGGCATCATGAAGGAAGAACATTATGGAGAAATACTGAAGCAACATCTCAAGACATCAGCCAGGAAATTAAAACTTGACCACAAATTAGTCTTCCAAGCAGACCATGACCCTCAGCACACTGCCAAATTAGTTCAAATGTGCTTTAAGGACAACAGAGGGAATGTTTTGGAGTGGCCATCACAAAGCCCTGATCTCAATCCTATAGAAAATGTGTGGGCAGAGTTGAAAAAGCTTGTGCGAGCAAGACAACCTACAAATCTGACTCGGTTACAGCAATTCTGTCAGAAGGAATGGGCCAAAATTCCAGCAAACTATTCTGAGAAGCTTGTGGAAGGAGACCCAAAATATTTTACCAAAGTTATACAGTTTAAAAGCAAAGCTAAATAAAAATACCAAGGAAATGTGTGTAAACTTTTGACTGTCTAGAAATTATTATTAATTATTATTCTGGCATTTAGCAAATGTAAATCATTTAGGTAATCCTAACAGATCTAAAATAGTAAACGTTTAGTTTGATTTACCATCAGACATTTTTAAAAAAACTGGTTATTCCTTTTATTAGAGTGTGTGTAAACTTCTGGTGTCAACTGTATGAATAAGTCTAATGAGAACAGTCGAACAACTGATTACAATTTACTGATTATATGCGGTGGTCCAGTAGGTAGTTCAGTAGGCTGGTTCGAGCCTCGGCTGGCTCAGTTGCCATTTCTGTGTGGAGTTTGCATGTTCTCCCTGCCTTTGCGTGGGTTTCCTCCGGGTGCTCCGGTTTCCCCCACAGTCCAAAGACATGCGGTACAGGTGAATTGGGTAGGCTAAATTGTCCGTAGTGTATGAGTGTGAATGAGAGTGTATGGATGTTCCCCAAAGATGTGGCTGAAAGGGCATCCCCTGCGAAAAATGTGTTCTGGATAAGTTGGCGGTTCATTCTGCTGTGGCAACCCCTGATTAATAAAGGCACTAAGCCGAAAAGAAAATGAATGAATGAATGTTGTCATGTTGAAAACGATCCTGTTCACATATAAACAATACCTGTTCTCTTCCTGTCAGTAGCTTAATGGTTTAATCCTGTGTACAGTGTGTGTGTGTGTGTGTGTGTTCCTGTGTACAGTGTGTGACTGAGGCCAAACTTAGCATCAAGAGGCTTTGACAGCATCACAGTCACTGTATCCTCTCTCCATCACAAATCCCCATTAACATTAACCCTGTGTGCGTGCACTGTTCAGGCGTCCCCTCAGCAGCGCTCTATCTTTATCCCGCAGGCTTTAATTATCCCACTCTGAACTGAACCTTCACCTGTCGAGTCAGAAACAGCCTTCGCTTTCGAGATCTCTCTGTGTGTGTGTGTGTGTTTGGTTGGAGGTGTGTGGGCCAGGTGGAGGATTGTGATAAATCTTGTGCTGTAATCCTGTGTGAAATCTGTACAGTCATGCTCTGGGCTTTCAGCAGAAACGTCAGCGCTCGCCGCCGGAAACACACACTGTAGAGCAGAAGAAGAAGAAGAGGAAGAAGAAGAAGAGGAGGAGACACAGAAGAAGAAGAGGAGAAACAGACAGACAGCATCCATTACTGGAGAACACAGAGAGAGAGAGAGCAGAGCACAGGTACACACACGTACACACACACTCACACACACACACACACGTGTACACAGACACCAGCACACACACATATACGCACTTTTATGTACACACACAGGTAAATACACACACATACAGGTACACACACACACACACACACACAGAGAGAGAGAGAGGTATAACAACTACTCTCGCATTTATACACAGGTTTTCACACACACACACACACACACACACACACACACACACACACACACACACACACACACACACACACACACACACAGTGTTGTCCTGTTGTTACTGTACAGAAATTCACTTTTATCTTCTTTCTCTCTTTCCTGCCACACACACACACACATATACACACACACACACACACACACACCCTGTGTGGATGGATTCTGGCCATATCCTCCTCTGGACGTCTGTTCATCGTCCGGTGAGTGTTGAGTTTTCCTCTGGCACACACTTTAAACACAATCCTGATCCCGAAGCCTCCTGAATGAGTCTGAATTTCAGAAAACAGTCCTGTAACCACTTCTGTAAGCGCTCCTCACAACACAGCAGTGCAGGACAGCATCATGAGTGTAAGAGCTGATGGAGTCAGTGTTCAGACATCAGAGTGTTCATCAGACAAACTCAAACACCAGTTTAACTCAGATCTCGTGAAAATGGTTGCTGACCCAGACAGCATACGAATGTGGGCCACTTTAGGCAGTTATGCGGCACTGGTGGTCTTCCTTCAGCCCAGACAAAATTAATGTGAGCCTGAAGTGGCCCACCTGTACAATGGCAAAGGGGGGCCAAAGATTCAAATTCATATATGGGCCATTTAAGGCAAAGATTTGGCACTTATGGCAAAATGTAATCTGAATGTGAGCCTAACGTGGCCCATGTGGAAAATGATCAATTCGGCCCAAATGATGGAGGACAAATGTGGGCCACAGTTGGCAATAATGTAGCATAGTCATTTAAGGGTAATCTGGGTCTAAACCTAAAGTGGCCCACACATGTAGGTGCAAATGTGGCCTAGTTTTTTAAAAACATATGTGGGCCACTTTTGGCAAATATTCAGCACAGTAAACTTTGGCTAATGCAGCCGTTAGCCTATAGTGGCCCAGAGAAGATATTGCAAATGTGGCCCAGTTATCTTAAGACATATGTGGGCCACTTTTGGCAAATATTTGGCACAGTTAGCTCTGGCTAATGCTACTGTGAGCCTTCAGCGGCCCAGAGAAGATATGGCAAATGTGGCCTAGTTTTTTAAAAACATATGTGGGCCACTTTTGGCAAATATTCAGCACAGTAAACTTTGGCTAATGCAGCCGTTAGCCTATAGTGGCCCAGAGAAGATATTGCAAATGTGGCCCAGTTATCTTAAGACATATGTGGGCCACTTTTGGCAAATATTTGGCACAGTTAGCTCTGGCTAATGCTACTGTGAGCCTAAAGTGGCCCAGAGAAAATATGGCAAATGTGGCCCAGTTTTTTAAAAACATATGTGGGCCATTTTTGGCAAATATTTGGCACAGTAAACTCAGGCTAATGCAGCCGTTAGCCTATAGTGGCCCAGAGAAGATAATGCAAATGTGGCCCAGTTATCTTAAGACATATGTGGGCCACTTTTGGCAAATATTTGGCACAGTTAGCTCTGGCTAATGCTGCTGTGAGCCTAAAGCGGCCCAGAGAAGATATGTTAAATATGGCCCAGTTATTTAAAAACATATTTGGGCCACTTTGGCAAATATTTGGCACAGTAAACTCTGGTAAGTGTGGCTGTTAGCCTATAGTGGCCCAGAGAAGATATGGCAAATGTGGCCCAGTTATCTTAAGACATATGTGAGCCACTTTAGCAAATATTCGGCACAGTATTCAAGACGTCAACCAGTCGCGTAGCGCAAAATGTGGAGGCCCCCCTGCAGGGATCACTGACGGGGTGCCCAGTTGAGGGGGGGGCAACGCGGGAAAGCGATCACAAATTGAGGAGCGGGGAAGGGAGGCGGGGTGGAGCGACAACGCGGGGAAGCCATCACAAACTGAGGAGCGATCACAAACTAGGGAGCGATCACAAACTGAGGAGCGGGAAAGGGGGCGGGGTGGATCGACAACGCGGGGAAGCCTTCACAAATTGAGGAGCGGGGAAGGGAGGTGGGGTGGAGCGACAACGTGGGGAAGCCTTCACAAATTGAGGAGCGATCACAAACCGAAAGCGGCAAAAGCGTCAAAGTAGCCAGAAGTCATTCATTTTTAATGAGAACCGGCGGCGAGGAACAGCGTGGCGCATCTTTTCCTGTGTGGGCATCGAGGAGAGTTGAAATCAAGTCAACTTTATGGTATGAGCTATGACGCGGTTTGGCGGCCAGCAATCAGAATGAAGTAGTCCACCACTTGAGAGGAGTTCAGAAAACACAGACCTGTGAACTTTGGTTTCGACCACAGTTGTTCCCAAGAGTTTTATTATTGCGGTTGCCGAATTTTCAATTATTGAAAATCGCGACGACGTGGTGCCCCCTAATCATGCGGGCCCCCCCTGCGGGCCCATCCGCTACGCCACTGACGTCAACCATCTTTGCTCTGCTCAGTATGACAGGCTGATGGATGCCAACGCGTTGTATCTCCGCAATTATAAATATTTAAAATAGGCAAAATAGTCTTTATAAATAAACTCCTTAGCTGCAGTCTAAACATTTACATTCTCGCCTTTGAAATACATTATGTTGTCCAACAGCTGCAATATTTGATATGATATTATTGATATGCTGTCACTCTGTGTGGGCGGAGTAATGCTGAAGGGTATAGGGTGACACAGTGGGTAGCGCTGTCGCCTCACAGCAAGAAAGTCGCTGGTTCGAGTCCCCGCTGGGTCAGTTGGCATTTCTGTGTGGAGTTTGCATGTACACCCCATGTTGGTGTGTGCTCGTTGACATGTCCCTAGTATAGTTTTGAATGGGGAAAAGAGTAACGTTAATATGGCGAATGAACATCCGCCTACAAGTACAGGAGCCAATCAGGGATTGCTATAGACTGGCATTTCTCTAGGGGAGAAGCTCGAACCAGACGTGTGCTTTAACGACAGTTTCTGTGGTCAACAAACACACTGGAATATCACAGAATACTTGCTTCACAGAAATATATCCACATGATTCTCAAAATCTGGACTTTTAAATGAACAGACTACACTTGAAAACAAAAGTTTTCTGGTTTTGTAATCTGTATGAAACGAACGCGAGGTACAGTTCATCCTGACAAAGACACATCACATGACAGAAACTACTCAAACATCCACAAACTTATAAACGAAGAGTGGCTGTCATTTCTGAAAGAGATTAGCCATCAAGACCAGAAGAGCAGCGCAATCAGACGATCATTATCCAGAGGATGATAGTGTTTTTTGAACGTCCATAAATGAGGTTGGTGTCGTGATCTTGTTCCTTTCCAGTGTGTATGCGCATTAGCTCGGGCAACCTGAAAATATGCAGATTTTGTTTGATTCAAAGGTTTAAAAACAAAACTGATCAGACATTTGTTGTTTAATTTTATTGGTGATTTCCAATATGTGATGCAATCGTGAGCTTGGCAAAAAGTTTTGGAAAATTTGATGTTTCCCTATTCAGCCCAAGCAAACTGCCAGAGAGGCGTTTCAAAGATGGCCGCCGAGTGAAATTACTTGCTTTAATGAGACTTTGACCAGGGTTTGGATGGTGTAAACACAAGGGGGTATAATCAATCTTGGGTTCGGACCAGACAATCGTGTCCCAAGTGTGAAAGCACCCTTAGAGTTAACTCAACCCTGTTGAAAAATCCAGCTTAAACCAGCCTAGGCTGGTTGGCTGGTTTTAGCTGGTCAATCAGGCTGGTTTTAGAGGGGTTTTGGCCATTTTCAGGCTGGTTTCCAGCCATTTCCAGCCTGGTCTTAGCTGGTCAGGCTGGAAAATGACCAGCTAAATCCAGCTAAAACCAGCTTGACCAGCCTAGCAGGCTGGGAGCCCAGCCAAAACCAGCTATGTCCAGCTTAAACCAGGCTGGTCAAGCTGGTTTTAGCTGGATTTAGCTGGTCATTTTCCAGCCTGACCAGCTAAGACCAGGCTGGAAATGGCTGGAAACCAGCCTGGAAGTGGCCAAAAACCCTCTAAAACCAGCCTGGTTGACCAGCTAAAACCAGCCAACCAGCCTAGGCTGGTTTAAGCTGGATTTTTTAGCAGGGAAAACTGCAAATTATGTCCTCATTTACTAACCGTTCATTTGTCACAGAATAAAACAAAATTAAAAAGAAACCAGTCACCACTGACTTACATAGTAGGACAAACAAACATCTAAAAACCAGTCAATTATGACCAGTTAGCATCCTTTAGCAGAAAAAAGAAACTCGTACAAGTTTGGAACCACTTGAGGGTACGTAAACAGTAAACCTTTGTGTGAACTATCCCTTTAATCTGCTCTGTCCTGCTAGTTTGATCCACCAGTGGGCGCTATTTCTCTGAAAGTCAACACTCTTCGCTGCGGTTCCTTTTGTCCGCAGTTCGGTAGTCAACATCCTTATTATAAACCACTCTCCGAGCTCACCAATAGAAGACGAGTATTTCAGACTGACATCCACTTCCACTAATCTCCTTCCGAGTTCGAGAGTCGTCAGCCAATCGTGACGCGGGGCGGGTTTCAGCGCGAGCATCGAGGGGAGGGGTTCGCATGTTTCACTACGTTGGCTTTTCTCCCAGAAAGATTTCGGTGTGGGAATTTCAATTTTACGTTTTGTGAGGCTATCGGAGGCTCTATTACCGGAGACCGCGTCCCGAACGATTCTCTGAGCACCTCTAGACGGAATAAGGTACGGCAGTTAACGGCTGCTTTCAGTCACAGCATCAGGATTTGTGTGCATGTTTTAAAGATGAACCCGCGTGGAGCTGAACCGAGCCGCAGAGGAGAACTTTATGATGAGCCGTTACTCTAAAGTCTCTCTTCTTTCAGGATATAACTGAAATGTTAATCCTCGAACATATGCATTTGTGCTGCTGAATATGATCTCTGCGAGTCGCACTGAATGAATCGCGTTGTGATGATTTAGTCTGCCGTGTGTTGTTAATCGCGTCGCTGTGTTGTTTTGAATATCGTTGGCTCTCTATGTGTGTGTGCGTAACATATGGACACATTCTCTGCAGCCCGTGTCAAATCCCATATGGCGTCTTTATGTAACGCTGTAATCTCCAGTCGTGATGTTTACAGCGTTCAGTGCTGTCTGTGTGTTTAGGCAGCGCTTCACTCGTGTTTACCTGTCCTCTGGACGGTACACGGCATTAACCGGTGCAGGAGCTGCTGAAGGCCGTGGTAATCACGTTAACGTGTTTTTGTTCGGTAAAATTCAGCGGCACGTGCCCTAATGCAGAGAGTGCCCGCGTGGCTGGCGCGCGATCACAGCTGTGTATGTGTCACACCCCAGCACATCACTGTGTGTGTGTCGACCTCGTTGTGTGTTTTAAGTGTTTTTTCTCTGGTGGTGTTGGCTTTACGTGCACATGAATACGCAATAAACTGGATGACGCGGCGCCATCTTCGCTGCGAGCTTTTTTTTAGTTTGTGTCGGCAGAGCTTCAGTCCAGATGTGCTCTCTGCTACACACACACACACACACACACACACACACACATACAAAAACGCTACTCTGATTTATTTCTCACACTGACTTGTTCCTATATCCATGTGGGGACTTTCATTGACGTAATGATTGGGCTAAAGTTGGTTTTATATTCACACATTCAGATTTTCTCCTTAATAGTATAATCTTAGTATTGTTTGCAAATTCTAAATAGTGAAATCATATTAGCAGCCAATGACTATCTAACATTGTCAATAGTGCTAATGTTGTTTTCAAGTCATACTTGCAAGTGATTTCAGACAGAATATTCAAAGTACCATGGTAAACTATATAGGGTGTGTGTCACAAGTTGTAACTGAATGAATGTGCAAATATAAAACCAACTTTACCTTAATGATGTAATGGTGTTTTAATTATACAAAACTTATATATTATTTCTCTGTGTTGAAGTTGGTTTCATATTTGCACATTTGAACTTTTTTTTAAATAATATAATTTCTGAAAAGGATTCTAAATAGTGAAATTACATTAGCAGCCAATGACTATCAAAGTGCAAGTGTTCACAGGCATTTAAAAAGAGATGAAGTTAGTTTTAAGTCATACTTATTTCCGATTTCAGACCGAATATTCAAAGTAGTGTAATAATAAACAATATAGACACCGTGTCACTGTTCAAAAATGAATGAATAAGTGACCGTAAAACCAACTTCACCTCAATCTACCCAACCCCTAAACCAAACCCTCAATGAAAAAAATACTTCATTCTGTGTTATTTTTGAGCATGTTTACCCATGGGGACCTCAATTTTGGTCCCCAAGGTGACACAAGTCCCCATGAGTCTGTGTGAATTCAGGTTTAAGTCCTCGCTGGGATAAAAAAACAAGTACACACACATTTGAAAAAACTGTGGTTGCTGTAAGTGCATTATTGATATTTGTAGCTTTGGATGTGTTTTATAACCGTATGAGTGTGCTTATCATGCTGGAATTGCACAAAAAGACAGGTTTTTGGTTTATTTACGCTTGCGCTAAAGCAATAGTCACGCATAAATGGAAATATATTTACTTTTTCACCAGTGTTTTCAAACCTGTATGGGTCTCACTTTTTTGTGAACACAAGAAAGTATTTTTGACAAAACTGAAAGCTGTAGCTATTGACTTGCATAGTAGGAAAAACAAGTACTGTGGAAGTTTACAGTTGTCCAACTGTCTGCAAAACAACTTATTTTGTGTTTAAAAGAAAAAAAGAAACTTACGCCCCATTCACACGAGGCTTCAGCGTCAACGCTTGACTGAAGGCGTGTCTGAAGTTGGGGCTGAAGCGATCGTCATAGCAGCGTCAGCCAATGAAAATCAGTCAGCAATAGGCCACTGTCTAGATGGTGTATTTGCATACAGCGATCTGATTGGCTGACGCTTCCGTCAGTGCTTAAAGTTGAGCTAGTCCCAACTTCTGCCGCGAGCAACGCCTCTGAAGTGGCGCTGATGGATCCACAATGCAGTTCGGCAATGCTTGACGTCACCTGTTCAAAGTGAATGGGAAGCATTGACGCTGACGCCCTGTGTGAATGGGGGATTAGGCTGTGAAACAAGTGTGAGTACATGAGTTTTCAGGTTTGGGCTGAACTTTCTCCTTAATTCTGCCATGAATGTGTCATCGGTTTGCTGGTGTATCAATAAAAAAACAAAACAAATGATTTTATTTAAGAGTGTAGTTACACAAGTACACACTTAACCCTTCAACTGGCATCGTTACTGCCTGGTTGACCTTTTGTTTATGGGTTATCATTACAACAGAAGCTCAGTTTGTAAAATTGGTGTGTCAGGAACACAACTCAACCAAAGACATTCGAAGACCTTTTCTGTAAATGTAAGTTAACGGGTTAAAAATGGAAAGGTTTTGTTCTTTGTGTTCCTTTGAGAAGTTTTGGACACAGATGAGTGTGTTGTCAAAGCAGTCCCAGTCCACGAAAACAACTAAAAGTACTGTATTCTACACACATAGCTTTCAATGTCACTTTATTTCACCACTCTACAGCAGATATGAGCTGAATTAGAGAGACTGTGGCTAATGGCCAATAGAGAAAGTAGATCATGTGTACCTTTCATAACTAAATCACATTCATAAACAATCACATTATTACAGCATTGACGTCCATTGACCTTCTGTCAGAGTCGTGCGACAATCAGTCGCCATTTGTGGATAACATACAAATGAAGTGATCAGTCCAGTTTTTAAGATGTCCTGTGACTTCTCTAATTGAACATTTATTTTCTGTTATAAACTTAAACATATCCAATACTACTGTTGTTTAGGCATGGGCTGGTATAAGATTCTGACGGTATTATAACCTTGGATAAAAAAAAATCACAGTTTTACGATATCACGGTATTGTGATTACTGCTCTAAAATATTCATTTTAAATGTCTGGGTGAAAAACTACAACTTTTTTCACCTTTGAACACAATTTAAATTATTTCCAAAAAACATTTAATGATTTTTGGTGCAGTAAACATGTCAGGCTGAATAATTCAAACGAATCATTGACTTTTGCTGTGTTCATTTTTTTCAAACTCACAGATTTCTTTACATTTTTAAACGTCATCTTTAGATATTTGGTTTCTGCTGGAGATTCTGTTGACTTAAAAAAATATATAAATAATAAAATATTGCACTTACCTTATTTTAACTGTTTTAAAACCTTGACTTTTCCAAACTGCAGTATATCTTGAAAACTGTTTTCATCCCATGCCTACTGATGTATAAATTTAAAGCACATCCCGGCTAGCAAGACCTGGATGGATTAATGATAACATAATTAAAGTCAGCATGAACCTAAAGACTTTTATGTCAGTATATTGATGTGCTTCCTAACTGAAATGGCATATTGAGTTGGGTGCGGGTCTTTCTTTTTGAATATTAATATTAGAGCTGCACGATTCTGGCTAAAATGAGAATCGCGATTTTTTTTTTTTGCTTAAAATAAAGATCACGATTTTCTCACGATTCTGTAGATGTAAAATAAAGGTATGGTAAAAACAAACATAAGGCACAACATCGATAATAATACTATGTGCAGGTCTACTGGTTTCTATAAATAATTCTATTCTACTTATAATATATATATGCTTGCAATCTGTCATATTAGACAATTGTAAACTGGTAAAATCAGACATTTGCCATTATCAGATTATATTCAACAATATATAGGCTAGAGTAGTTATACTGACACTGTAAACTTTTATTTTCATGCACAACTGTGTGTTCACTATAAAAGAAAAAACATCAAATGCTTGTCTTAATCATAACTCTAAAATGCGATATGATCATTTAAATGAAGTGCACGCTTTCGGTTTCATTTTGACCGCTAAGTGCTGTTCATACTTCGCACGCGGCTCCCAAACGATCACTCTGTGCCACAAACTGAATATTATTTACAACTGTATTACCTGTTACTCGCAACATATGCAGGTTCTGTTCACTAAAGTAGACGCGCGCATCTATCATTAAGTACAGCGTGCGCCCTCTCTGTGATAACAGCTCACGGTCAGCAGCTCACGTCACGTGGGATTTCCCGATCGCGAAAACATCGTTATATTAACACAAAAAATGACATTTTAGGTTAATTATACCTTAAAAATACAGTGTGTGACTCTTTCAACATCATTTGGAGGTGTCCATGTCACTGAGCAACGTGTGTGAAACAATGAAAAGACTCGTGCAGCCGCCTTTTCTTCTCTTCTGAACTAGAAAATATGATTGACAGAATCGTAGAAATGCTGGATTAAGATCGTCTAGGGGGTCGAATCGAGATCGCAATCTTTTAACGATTAATTGCGCAGCTCTAATTAATATGCAGTTGCAATGAAAGGCCTTAGGTTGGCGTCAACAGGAATCTGCCTCTCTAAAACCCTGAAGCAAATGGTCAGAGTTTGGTCGAAGATTACCAGAAAAAAAAAAAATCCTGTAACTTGCCTGTATTAATTATTCACCTTAAGAATAAAACGTGACCTAGCCATATACGCTTTAATATCTCTTAAAGAAATATGTAGTCGGAAACAATAGAAGATTTAAGTCCACATTTATTTTGGACTATAGGTGCACTGTGTATGTAATGATACCTGCTTCTGTTTTAACACAACTCAAAGTAAAATATTGATATGATGCCACGATGTGCTGGTTTTAGTTTTAACTTTCTATCAGAGAGATGTGGGTCTTCATTATTATTGATTTAG